GGGTTAGGGTTTAGGCATTTTAGGGTGTAAGGGTTAGGGTTTAGGCATTTTAGGGTCTAAGGGGATGAAACTTGGGGAGTTTCATAGCGATTGGCACGGATTTTTTTCTTGAGCCGCCGCTTTTGGGGAGTCACCCGAAACAGTCTTTGAAGAATCTGCACACACACACACACTGTATTCACAGTGTGGAAGCTTTAGCAAGCTAGCTAAAGACCTGAAAACATAGGCATACAAACCCAAAAGATGGATCCGAAAGATCCTAGTGCAAGGCAAGGATTGCCTCCATGCGCGCTGTGGAAGCAGTGCCACCTTTCTTCAATGCTTCAACCGTGGCTGCGTAAGCATCCTTACCACACTTATGGAACCAAGACTTACGAGCACCGTACACCAAGCTGTGATTGGTAACAGTTTCCACTTGAATCCATCCGCATGGCACATAAAGCAAGGATTCCTTTGTCAACACACACTTCCTCATCTTGGCGCCTGCCTGGACAAGGGAAGCCAAATCATCGGAGTTACACCCCTGCAGTGATGCAGTGAAGTCGTTGTCTTCCTTGCCAATCGTCTTGAGGGCAGCTACAAGCGAAGCTCGCTCGACAAGCCAATGATGGATCTCCCCACAGGCCAATGTTTTAAACAATGCCGCGTGGTTAGGAGTGACAGACACAGCTTGCAGATCAGAGCTGACGCCGAAAAGCCAGACAGCTTTCTCAAACTCTGCGCCCCCAGCAACAGAGGACACATCCACATGCTGGCCGCTTGGAATGAAGTTGTTCCAGGCGTCAAACAGGATCTCACGGCCCTGACCATCGGGGATTGGGTATGTCACCACATTGAGTTTGTGCTGACTCATTGCCTTCTTGTACTGGGCACCCCAGATAGCCAGGGATTTCTGCACTGCTGAATGCTGAAGTGCTTTCTGCATGTGGCCAGAATCTTTCAGAAGCCACGGCGCCTTGAAATCCATATCGGCCACGCTGGCCGGAGTGCTCAGTTCTGCAACGTCCTGCACCTCGGGCGGGAGATTGCTCTTGAAGAGTGGCTTCGCGACACCCTGGCCATGAGCATCTGTCTTCCTCTTCTTGATGGAATCCGCTGCAGCCTTTGCCTCTGCTTTCACCTTGGCCAGCTGTTGCTTGGCAGCAGCATCAGCTTTTCTCTTCTTGTCCCTTGCTTGCTCGCTGAGCTTGGCTTTCAAGTGCTTGTAAACATCATCAGTGGCAATATTGAGGCCTTTGCTGATCTCCGTCAACGCCTTGTTGGACTGCTCCCACTGATGCTTAAGCTGCAAAAAGGTTTCCGAGGTTTGGGCTGCCATGACAGCATCAATGAGTTCCCGCAAACTCTGGATGCTGACAACGGAGGACAGTTCACCCTGCCAGAACTTCTGCGCACGAACGGACTCCTGCTCCAGGAAGACTTCAAAGGACATGGCTTTCTTCTTAGCCAGCTCCTGCTCAACAACGGCCTTCATGGCATCACCTGTCACTTCGCTGGCAGGCGTACCAGGGGCCGCAGCAGCACCTGCAGCATTCCCAGCCGTGTCTGGGACAAGCTGACAGATGTCCGCTGGCTGCCCCAGGATACGCGCTACCAGCTCTTGGCGCTGCTGCGCAGTCTTGCAGAAGGTGATCAGGACGCGATCCGAAGCTTTCAGATCGTCGGGGTGATCCGCATACTTGGGCATCAAGTCCACTGCATGGGCGAAGCTTTTCTTCAAGTCTGTCTCCAGCTTCCTCACGCCCTTCTCAATGATAGCAGATAAGTTCGGACGCTCACGTGTGAGATTGATGACCTTCTCCGGTGTGACTTCAGCGTCCTCCCCTCCATTCTTCTTTTTCTTGGGCGTGGTGTGCGCAGGCTGGGGTCCCTGCTTCAGGTCGTCTAACTGGTGCGCAGTCAGCTGAAAGTGATCATCCTGGAACCCGTCATCCTGGCGGGCCACATGCCTGCCAAGCATCTCCCGTTGCTCAAGGGTGGGTGCCCTGATGTCCCCGGAGAACTCGACAGATCGAGCATCGACATAATTTTCTTTTTCTCTCAGCTTCATAATGTGGGCATTGATCCACAGCTGCTCCGCCCCGCGGAATCCTTTGTTGTCACGTTTCACGGTAGCATCGGCATACAACTCCTTCCACCACTCAGTCATCTCCTCTTCGGTCAGCCCCAACTTGTTCTCACAGTACTTGTAGAAGGCGCGTTCGGTCATCGGGATGTCCCCAATGGAGTCTTTGGCAGATGTCCTGGTTCCACGGATTCGCTCGAACCTCGCGAAGTCGACGAGTCCTTTCTTTTTCATCTCCGGGGGGTTGTCCTTGTGAAAAGCCAACACCTCACGGCCACAGACCCCTTCGTCTTTCATGGCTTCATCATAAGCTTGCTTCTGTTCCTCAGTCAAATCCTTTCTGGAACGACGCTGGTATTGCATATTGTCGAAGCTCTTCTTATGCTCTCCCAGGGAGCAAAACTTGCTTCCCGGGTACTTCGGGTAGTGGCAACCCGGACAAATGCATGTGGACACTGGTTGCTTCTTTGTCGTGTTCAAGGCACCGGGGCCGGCACTCTGCTTGTCCCCTTTTCCAGCTGTCTTCTGGCCTTTCCCACCCCGACCCTTTTTCCCACGACCTTTAGCAGGAACCGCCGCCTGCTCTTCAGCTGCCTCAGGCTGTCCGTCTGCTTCCGGCTTGGAGTCGAACTTGCCCTCCCACATTTCCAATAAGGACACAGACTGCAACGCACTTTGTTCCTGACCAAAGTCATCTTCGGCATTCATGATGCCAGAGTCCCTACGGAGCTGCCACGACCGATCAATCTACCTACGCAACACTACTGCAAGCAAGGGCCAAGCTACGGACATAAGCATGTATTGGGCACATCCAGGACGGAGCTACCGACCGATCAATCTACCTACCGCAACACTAGTGCAAGCAAGGACCAAGCTACCAGACACAAGCATTTATCGGGCACATTCAAGGCCTAAGACCAACATGTGTCGAGTTTCGACTTGACAACACTACAGGCCTGGTTACAAGCACGACACACTGACACACTGACACGCAAAGAACGAGCATGAACAACAAGACGAAGCTACCCTGAGGATGTCTTTTTTCTGTACAGCACAGCGCACCGCAGAGATCAGGTTAACCTAGAGTCTAGAGGCTCAGATGGTTGGGAGCGATAGACACAGCTTGGAGCGGAGACTGGGTATGTCAGCACTGGCATGGCAAGTGTGCAAGCAACGACCCCAGCTGCTTGTCACACTGGACCCAAACCCAGCATGTTACCCAATCATGCCCCCCACGCAGGCTCAGCGCCATCCTCGGGCTGGTCTGGGGGGGCATCCTTCCATTCCTCAGCAATGCAAAAGGCTCGTTCCCACGCAGCCTGGACCCCGTTGTGCACACCGAATAAGAAGGATTGTGAACGTCGTCCGCACTGAACAATGAATTTCTCATCTTTCAAGTTCACTATGACGGGCACGATCCAAGAATGTTTCACCTGATAGCTATGCCGACCAGTCGGAGGTTTCCACGGCAGCGCAGCTGTGGGGAGTGCCTCCAGCACTGGGTAATAGGATGGCAACAAACAGCCGTACCTCGCAATCCTCTGGACTTTGCTGGGCCGGGAGCTGGCAGACTCGGCATCAACTTCACGTTTGAGTTTTTTGAAGCCACGCGATGGCTCCCGAACCGCCTGAGCCCCAACAGCCAACCCAGCAAGGCTAGCCTGCTCGGTATCATCGCACACAGCAGAGGCTGACCTCTTAGCCATGATCGCAACACTGACACGGAAGGAGAAACAGAGGCGCTTGTTTTGCACAAACGCTGCAGGAAAAGATGCAGACTGGCAGAGCTTGAACACATGACAGTGATCTCTCTCTCTCTCTCTCTCTCTCTCTCTCTCTCTGGCTCATGGTTCCGTTTTGGGAAGGCATAATATCTCTCTCATTCTCTTTCTCTGTCTCTCTCTCTGTCTCTCACTCTCATATGCACTCCCCTTCTGTTTCACAAGGCTGGTTGCAGTTGCAAGGCTGACAAGAAGAATCACATCATTTTTTCAAAACCGCTACCAATCGTCCTGTACACAAAGTCACTCTAGAGGCCGAACAAGCTGGAGACCTGAATGCTCATCGTCAGTCATGCTTGTCATCACTTTCATCTGTTTGGTAACGCAAGCTGGGCTGCACGGTGCACTGCTCACGACGGCAAGTGTGGCAGAAGACATACAGATACCAAGCAAGAATGGCGGGCAAGCTCTGGCTGTTGCCAGTCAGAGCTTGGCCTACACGGTCCCTCACGCCTTGCATGTATTCCTCCAGGGGCCAGCGGTAACTGCTGTTCCCACACTCTTTCACATGGAAGCCTAATGCCAAGCACCTATCCACAGTCATTGCTATGCGGGAAGCTCCTACATCGACGATTGTTCCATGTTTCAGCATGCATGGCCAGGTGGGGCCATGAGAGGCAGCAGCATTCGGCCAATGATCAAGATCTGCTATCATTGTGCCTCCCAAGCTGGAGGAACCCTCCGAAAGCTTGCCATAGTGCTCAAGCCGCTGCAACTGAGCGGGAGTGAGCACCAACATGAACATGTCCTTCCCACAAACTGGCACTGATTCCTGATCTGCGACTCTGGTTCTGCGCTGCATCTTGCGCTGTACCCATGCCCTGACAACCGCATCACTTGCCTGGAAGAAAATGCTCCCTGTGACATTGGGACTGCAACGCCTCTGAAAGAAGCGCTCAAAATCTTGTTGGACTTCTTGCGGAGATTCAGGCCCCGTCCATACCAAGGTTTGGAGGGACAAGCCACAGCTGAGGCGCCTGTCACGTGCCGTTGGCCAACCGAGGCCTCTTGGACCTATCACAGCATGCGTCACAAAGTGAGTCTCAGACAGACGTTGAGCAATGCAGCTTGCAGCATCGAAGTCCGGAGTACATTCCTGAAAGAAAAGATCTTCCTGGCCCCGACGTGCAAGCTCACGCCGCTGAGCCAGCCACACAAAAAATGCATGTTGACTCTTGTGAGCATGCTTTGATCTCTTGCCCACGGAGGACCATCCTACACATGTGTTTCCTGCTGTGTTGATGACCAGCGACTTATCCAAAGGACGTGGCGGGCTGACGATGCATGGCTTGCCATGGACCAGGCACTCGCAGCTGTGCTCCTGTGAGTGTAAACAAGAGGTAGTAAGCACCAAGAATGAACCATGACATAGCAGTAGAGCAGAGGCCGGCCTGATCCACAGCCCACGATCCATTGGCTCGAAGAAACTCATCCATGGAATCGTAAGCTGCCGCACAACTTTCAGAGCTATCTTCTGCCTTCGGAAGGCATGCCTGGCACCAAGCCTGTGCCGTTGGATGAATTTGCTGACAAATGTCCAGGAAAATGCAAGACTGGCCCTGGTCCTGCGTCTGAGCTGAATGAAGCAGGAGCTGCTGGCAGTCCCTATCAATGTCACAGGCCCGGGTGAATGTGTAGGAGCCAGAACAACTGGCCTCTTCATGCAAAGCTTGCAAGAGGAGGCGCATGCCTTCTCTTTCTGCCAACATGCCTGCATAATCGCTACTGTGGACGATGCCATGTTCCAGAAGCTGACAGGCCCTTGCCAGCAGCTCCGGATGCTTGCTCATGGTGCGAACATGCTCTTTCGGAAAATCAAAGAGCTCAAACAAATTGCCTGGCCCGGCTTGACAATGCAGGGTCGACAAGTGGTCTGCCAGGCTGCCTTGCTTGTATCGCCTCTTGTGAGGGGAAGTGCGAGGTGATCTAGGCGGGTTGCTACCAATGTGCCCATGATTCAGATTCATTGCATCAAAGGAAAACGCATCATCTGCAAAATCGGCAGAGCTCTTCATGGCCTTTGTCGGACTCCCTACACTACAAGCTCAAGCTTCGCATCTGCAGCTTAGAGGAGGGGATGGCAGCGGATGGCAGGGTCTGTGGTTTGAGATGGAAGCACCATATTCCTTCAAGTTTAGGCTTAGGGAGGACATGTCATGGCATGGTACGGAAGTGTTTCATGCGGATAGAGCACCTGCAGCTGCAGCGTTATCGGAGCACATGAGCTTTTAAGCCCGGAAGCTTCTGAACGTTGTTGTATCAGCAAGTCCCAACGCCTCTTCCATGTCTAGCATAGCTATTATGATCAAATTATGAGTTCACCCCTTCAGCCTCAACCCTGCCATACACCCACTGATGCCACTGATCACCCACTTCCCATCATGAGCATCAGCAGCCCCTCAACCCAACCCAGCACCACCACATCACGCGCAACCCAATCTACCAGCCCCAACCCCAGCCCACGCCAGCCGAGCCCTTCCTGCTGCGCTGCGTGGCACGTTAGAACGCAAAACGGGCCCATTGCTGGCATGCAGGGAGAGAAATGACGCATTTGTGACCATAGTGACAATATTGAACACCATCTCCGCAGAATCTGCATTTTCAAAGTTTTTTGAAGTTTTTTGGTCGTTCCTTCTGCAATTGATTCATTTTTGATGAAGTCAAGGAATTCTTTGAACGATCTAGCCATTTTGGCTCCAGGACAGGCAGCGCACGAAAGCGCACGAAAATCGCCTTGGTTGCCTCGAGCAAAATTTGGCCGGAACCCTTGCGGAAAGCCACGGCACGCCTTGAAAATGAAGGCCCGGACAGCACCTGTGGCCTCTGTTTTCCCTGCCGTGCCTTGGAAAAATGGACCGCTGCCTCTAATCGACCCAGCCAGGCCTTTATTTTGCTCGAGGCCATCTGGGGCAAAAAGTGGGCGCACGAAAGCGCACGAAAGAATCATTGGTGAAAACATTGTGTGTGTGTATGTTTTTATTGTTTTTTCAATTGGTCCGTGAAAATCCTTTATTTGGGCGGAAAAAGAAGCAAAAGCATTAAAACTGACCCGCAACGACTGATTTGGCTGTATTTGGCCAAATTTCTCATTTTGGATTGTTTTTTTGGTTTTTTTACCAAAAATGAAGAGCAGCACCAAATTAAGGTTTTTTTGTCCGCGTGTGCGTGTTTCTGCGCGCGTGCGCGCCCCCGCGCCCTAAGTACCCGTGGGCCCGCCTGTCCTTGCCAGACCGGCCACCCTTCCCCCTCACAAGCCCCGTACCAGGCCACCTTTTCCAGGCCTGCCTGGTACCAGGCCAGCCACCCGGCCACCCACCAAGCCCTGGACCCACATCCCAAATGCCCAGCCTAACACAACCAACCAAGAGTATCCCACACCCCTACCCAAGCCACACACTGCTGCTATTACACAGTTGCCACGAAGATCCCAGCATTACTTGGAAATCTACTGTCCAGCCAAACTGAAACCTTTTTTTTCAGGAAGCACTGACGCTGACTCAGGCTTGTCATGGATTGATATCGTTTGGTATCGTGTTAGCATTCAGCATCGGAAGCACATCATCTGTCCACCCTTGCAAGTGCTGTTCGGCACTCTCATAGCGGCTGGAGAGAGATGCCCAATATTTGAGGACATGCTGAACTCGCTCGGAGCCGCCGTAGCGACAGCTCCTTTTTTTGGTGCAAGCATGACCTGCAAGGTTGTGCAAGGGGTCGCCGCAACGAATCTGCCAATGTTTGGGATTCGCATCATCATCGCCAACTGGAGTAAGCAAGTGGTCCCCCCACAAGTAACCTCTCCCCTGCCTTTTTAAGGCTGGCGCGGCAGCAGCCTTTGCAACAGCTGCAGCACCCGGACCTCCATTGGCACCTGGAGCAGCTGGGGCTTGAGAACCAGAAGCTCTGGCAGAACTGCTGCTGCTGCTGCTGCTGCTGTTGGTGTTGCTGCTGCTGCTGCTGCTGTTGCTGCTGGATGAGGCTGAAGAATCCTCGTCATGGCTACTGACACCCTCTTCCACATTGTCATCCTCATCAGCTGGCACATCAGAATCTCCGCCCAGCTGACTCAAGGCATCGTCAATCGGGTCACGTTGTTGCTCCCTACTACTGGCGGCGGCAGACCGCCGGGTCCTAGGGACACGGGCACGAGGCTGCGACAAAGCATCATCAGGCCAATCATCGTTCACGTGCAAGCGTTTCCGCTTGCCCTTTTTGTTTCCAAGAGCCGGTGTCTGTTCCAGCCCAAGAAGACGCAAATACTCCTTTTCTGCAGCAGCATATGGCACCTGCTCAACCGGACAGCTCAACAAGGCAAGCACGTAACTCCTGCAGACCGTCACATCATCTGAGCGAGTGAACCACATCTTCTGACCTTCTTGCAAATGAGGAGATTGTTGTTTTTTGAGCTTCTTGTGTTTGCTGGCTGTAACGACCTCATGCGTGAAGCCTGCTGCGTCAAGCTCCAGCACTAGCTGATACAAGGACGCCTCGCTCAGAGGCTTCTCCGTGCGCCTCAGCAGAGGCACCTCGTTCCACAACCGCACCGCCTGCCTGGTGCGTTCAGCACCAGTCGGGGTCAACTTCCACGGCGGCCCTTCCACCAATGACTCAGACACCAGGATGTCCAAAAGTTCAGCGATGGCAGGATCTTCCTCTGGCCGCCCACAGAGGCTGTTAGACCCAACAAGCTGCTGCAGCAGAGTTTCAAGTCTCTCATGCATCTGCTGCGGGATGGTTGACATCATCTGGTTGTCGAAACGGTGAACGGCTGCTGAAGCATCCACTTCCCATAGCCACATCGCTTTCAGGGAAGCCAAGTCCAAGTGAGCCACATGGAGGGCCAAAGGAGCATCTTCCCATTTGTCTGTTGCTGTCGGTCCAAGTGCAACACCCTGCAAGGACACAAGGACTTCTTTCTTCTCAGGCCTCATAGCCAAGATGTCATGGAGCTGGACAAACCAACTGTCTTTCAGAGATACTTCAGACACTGTCTTTGTTCTGTGGTACCTTTGGGGGCTCTTATGCATCAGAGAAAAAAACATGACCTCTTCAGCCACATCCCCAGCGCCCTCCAGGAATGCTTTCAAGGACACCAGCTGATGCTGTGGGCATGGCAGCGCGTTCAGGCGCCCAGCCTGCCCTACTTCATCAAAATCATCTCCCAGCAAATTGCCATCCTGCACCCGCAAAATGGCACCGTCTTCATCCGGAGCGAGGATGGATCGCACACTGTAGAGCAGATGTGGGTTGTACTTGACCGACATGTAGCAGCCCCGATTCGCGTGCTGCTTGATGTGCTGCTGTGCTAAAGTCCACCTCAGCAAGCAAGAACCTTGAGGCAAAACCATGTCGGGCTGGGAGAGAAGCCTCTCAGGAAGGACACGTTTCCAGGATGGCGGAAGCGGCAGCACATATTTGAGGTAGGGGTCGTCATGGTAGATGTAGCGGAAGCTGCTCTTTTGCTTGCCCCAGTTGAACCATGCCGACTTTTCCATTGCGGCCACAGAAAACCCGAGAGCCTTGGCTGCTGCTACACCATTCAGCGCACGACCCATGAGCTCTGCCACCTCCACGGCAGCCTCTGGGTGTGCACGAAGGTGAGCCGCAAACTCAAGTTTCCGATGAAGAAAGGATACGAAGGCCGCTGAACGGCATGGGGCGTGATCAACTGCACGACGGGTCTTCGCATGTTGGCCCTCCACTCGCCAGGCCGTTGAGAAAAACAATCGAACCTCAGCTGCGAGCTCCTTCAATACATTGAAAGCCCCGGTCTCGTCCCACAGACACCCAGCCACCAGGAAGGCACGAACAACGTCCTCGTGTTTTTGCAGCAATTGAATCTTTGGATGATCAGATTTCAACTGCAAACAGGTCACACAGGACTTCATCCTGATTGCAGGGTCGTGATGCGCAATCCCGACGACTGCAAAAGGTGCCTGGCTCCAGAAAGACAATTTCACAACGTATGTCGTCAGGAGCATCTGCCTCGAGAGCTCAAAGTCACGCAGCAGTTTCAGCTTCTCTTCCTGAGACAAGCTTCGCGGAAGCTGCATCTCCAAAGAAACACTCCCAGCTTGCATCGTCTCCTGCATCATCGCAAAAAAATCTCCGCCGCAAATTTCGGGGCATCTACGACCCCGCATAGGACACGAATCCCACTTGTCCAACACGGCTTGATCCACGCCCGTTCGTGAAAGTCCATAATGACAGGGACATGAAGTCACAAACCGAACTGCTTGGCGCTGCACCCGTGCCACTTCCAGAAATACTTTGATCGAGGCCCAAAAGAAGTCTGAATGAATAGCCTCATCAACCTGTTGCAAGTTCACCCCGAAAGCAACAGCAGGACTTGTGTCCTCCTGCCTGCTGCTGGGTGGTTTTCTTCCTCTCATGAAATCATCCAAATCCCACCCTGCACGCAGCGCCACTTCGAGATCGGCAGCAAGTTCAATAGCAGTGGCTATCGTGTTCCAGCGTTTCTCATGAACTGTGTGGCTGACAGCAGCTATCTGGTTGTAAAAGGCATGAGCATCTCCCTGTGAAAAGCAACCTGTCAACAGCTGCTGCTTCGTCTCCTTGTTTGACATGAGCTTCAATAAAACGGTCGGCTTCTGTAACATGTCAGGGTATGTGTCTGCAACAGTGGACAAATCATTGGTGGCATTATGGATGATGTGCATCATGTCTGGCCCCTCCAAACAACATGACAAGTCAATCAGGTGTTGCCTAGGCGGTTCATCGCCTTGGAACATATCATCAGCAACATGTTGCAGCTCCCCAGACTCGACAAAACAATCATCATTCAAATGATGTTCTGGCTCTGGCCCAGAGTGCCAATGCGGAAGAATGTCCTCCAAAGGTATTGGCGGCATCCGGGCGATGCCACTTTCAACTCCGTAATCAGTGTGCACAGATGAAATGCTGCGTACTAATTGCACCAGAGTCTCAGGAGAATCAGAGAGCAACGCGAGGGTGTGCACAAATACTCGAAACTTTGCAGGCAAGTTTGTGCGGGAATGTGCCAGCATCACAATCGGACACACATGCAACCACATCTTGCTGTCTATGCTTTCCATAGCACGGCACTCCTGCTGCAGAACCTCTTCCGAAACCCGGGCCTCCGCTGTCAGGGAAGCGAAGCTCTGGAGAAGAAGCATGTCCTGGCAGGCATCAACGAATGGAGATCAATTTTCATGTGGGAGCAAGGCACGGCACTACCAGGCACTACCAGTCACTGTCATCGCAAGCCGAACAAAGAAGGCCTACATACACACTGCGCTGCACCCTGTCTCCATCAGCAGGTCACTGATTTTCACACTCTCGAGCACTTCAGTTCTGCAGTTCTGCACACTCTGCACTGAAACAAGTTTGGCAGTCATGAGCCTGTGAATTGTATCATGATATCCATCACCCCTGTCACCCTGTGAAGCTCACCTTGCAGTTGTTGAATGTACATGTCATCAACCGACCTGCCGGACCGCTTGCGGCGCTCACTGGGTTCAACGGCTGTGCTGGGTCTGGGCGATCTCCGGAAACTGAAGCCGCGGCTGAACTTGCAGCCACTGAGGAGCCGCGGCGTCTGCGCAGCAAAGGAGACCTGGACCGGGCCGCTGCCACTGACTCTTTGAAGCTTTCTCGCCGATGCGACTTGGACATGTGAGGCCACGAAGCTTCGGCATGTGCACCACCCGCACCATCAGCTGTGCATGCTCCACTCTGCAAATGCTGTTCCAACGACCACTCCCCCGGGAAGGACTTTCCGCATCGGCACACGCATTGCTCCACGGGAAGTCCCTGGTATTTGCGGCAACGTGCACTTTCTCTTTGGTGGCGGGCCAGGTTGGCGCGTAGCTTCACCCAAGCATTGCAGATCGGGCACTTGACCCCCCTCGAGGGTGCTTCGACCAGCGTTATGGAATGCAGACTTTCCGCAACTGGGGAGTCTGCCTCACGCCTTGGACTGTCCTCCTTGGCTTCAAAGTCAACATCCATCGACTTTGGCGACTTCTCCACAGCCTTGCCAGCCTTGCCTCCGGCACCTGCAGCATGCTTCTTGCCATCGCCTGAGCACGGTGAGTGGCTTCTGGAGTCGCGCTCCGACGACGTAGAGTCGGAACTCTCAGAGGACAGGGGAACCTCTGAGAACTTACCCTTTTCAGGGCCCTTATCATGGTCCTTCATCTTTTTCGTGCCCATCAGACACAGCTCAGCCGACAGCACTCCTACGGCTTAGGCCTAAGCTTGCACCAAAGACAGGGCTGCGGAAAGCTTTTTTTGACAGCGGCATGCCATGAACATGAAGAGCTGAACGTTGCAAAACCGCAAAAGCCTGCACATGCTGCACACGCCAAAAGACAGCGGTCCTTGTGAAGCAAGAGCAGGTCGTCTTTGGCCACGAAGTTTGCCAAAGTGCACTGGTACTCCAAGCCACCCTGCCAAGTCGCATCAGTCTGAATGAACACTCTAAGCCCTCGTTGTTCCATCATTCTGGAGATACGCTTCCTCACATGCAGCATCCATGCAATGTCAATCCTGCCGTGACATCTGCTCAAAGTTGATTTGCTTGGAACCGCCATTTCATCTGTATTGCTTCCGTCAATGAAAGAAGTGGCCTCCCTGGCAAGGCCTGGTGGCAAACAGACTTGGCAAGAAAGCGAAAACACATCCCTCAAGTCCTTGTCTGAATGCAGCATCCCAGCTATACGATAACAGTGCAGCATGTCCATCAGATCGTACTTCCGAGATCGCTTCTGCCCCTTCAGCCCTGGCTCTTTAGCATGGCCAAAGCGATGTACAAGAACCTCATCTGACATGGCCTGCACCATTCTAGCGCTGTTATAAACTTTGTCGAGCAGGTCTGGATTCCCTGACACACTCGCAGCCACGTCCCGCAAAGTTTGGAGTAGCTGCTCCCTGCCAGCACTGTCGTAAAGACTGAGTCTGGGGCCTTCGACCTCCAACGGCTCCGCTTTCGAAAGAAGCCGGCTGAATGCAGTATGCACAAAACCCCTCTGTAAATCAAGCAAACCACTTTCGCACTTCTCATGACGCTCGATGTCCCGTGTGTTTGGCCAACCTGCCAAAAACGAAAACCCACCGGATATACATATATCTGGAACTGCCAGACCAGACCATGCTCTGCTGACAACAAGGAAAACAAACGGCTTCGGAAGCCGCAGCACGATTCGAGGCACCTTGTTGTCTGAGAACGACTGCCAGATATTGAACTCATTGCATGAAACCTGCAGCTGCTGCTCTGTGAAAAGTGCAGCAGCCCAGTCTGCTGACATGAGGCTGAAGGCGTAACCTCTGACTTTAAGGATGCCTACAGCATCATCCACTTCCACCGGAATTGCCAAAGGTTCTACCTTCAGGACCCGGAACCAATACAGAGACCCCTCCAATTCTGACTGTGCCAGACAACGCCAGACCTGGTACTGGGCCTGCTCTTCCTCACTCATCGGCAACAAGCATGTGTGCTGAGCAATGGTTTCAATAAGCGCTACAGCGATGATTGTGTTGCCGGAAGCTAGATGGCCGCCATCACCTGAGTAGGTTCCTTGTGACAGCCCTTCAGACTCTTCCAGTCCTCTCAAGCAGGACTGCACAATGCTGTGTTCGGAAGCTGCTTTGTTTGGTCTGGCAAATCGCTTGGTTGAAAGGGCAACCTTGCAAAAGCCGTCGCCCAGACTCGCTAGCCAAACAACTTGCCGTGTAGTTTCCATGACAAAGAGCGGCCCGAGAAAAGCTCTCAAAACTAGTTGCGGTAAATGGTTTTCAAAATTATGAGCCTACCGACCGTACAACATGGTCAAGTCTGCAGAATTCCTGTTTCAAGCTTCAAAAATTCAAGTTTGGACTCACACACTCGCTCACTGCAAGCAGGCCTGGCTGCGCGAAAACCGAAAAGTTCAGATTTAGGGTTCAAGGATTATAGGGTTTTGTGGTTAGGGCATGATTGGAGTTGTTGGGGTCTTTCAGCTCATTTTGGTTTTGAACGCAGGAATGGACAAGATACAACTCAGACAAGCATGACATTCACGACTGGTCCAAAGGACCGCATGTCATCGTACTGAGCTTTTGGAGTGCTTTGAGCCCAGTTTAAGGTTTAGGGTTCAGGGCATTCAGGGTCAGGGTTTAGGGCATCTTTTTTTTTTTGTGGCGCACGTATCATTCTGGGCTCCAAGGAACGGTTTGAGCCAATTCGTTTTCCGATTCAACGCCAGCTTGGCTTTGGCTATATTTTACAGGCAATAAGTCCAAAAAAATAACAGGTCACATCGGAACCACACGCCAAAACACGCTCCGCCCAAGGAACGAAGAGGAATCCAGAAAAAGCAGTGTAGAAAAGGACAACAGCGCACCATAGGCCGGAAAACTCACTCAGACCCCACCAAAAAAAAGCAGCACCAAATTAGCGAAACTTACTAAGGAAGACTTCCATGGCTCTGCCATACAACAGTAGCGCACTGTGCGCACATTGCGCAAGGACTTCCGCCCTACTCCTACTTACTAATCTCATTGACACCAAAGGAAAGTTGGTTTCTAAAGCAGCGCGGGCCGACACCTTTGCAGATTACCTGGCAAATCAGGTATGGAA